CCCGAGCCACTCGCTCAGGGCACTCCCGGGAGCCCCTGCTGTCCGGGGCGTCCCCAAGAGCGGGGACACCCGCTCGCGGCCATGCCGTGTCCTGCTGGGGCCGAGGCCACAGGTCTCCAGGGCCTCAGGTTTGCTCCGCTCCCAGCTCTCGTCCCCCAGGGCCGTCGCTGTCCAATGCAAATCCTGGCCTTCAGCGCCTTCAGCCCTGCACAGTTTTGCATCCTGAAATTGTCCTCTGCTGACCCGCCTCTGCATTTGCTGCTCCCCAAAGCTAGGTGCCTGTTGGGCTTTCCGTGCTGGGTTTGCACGCCTCAACAGTCAGGTTAGGAAAGTTAGGAAGGCACCAGCTAAGCCTAATTTCTCCAGTTTCTCAGCCCAACCACAAGCACTGACCCACTTTCCCAGCAGCAACCATCTGCGCCATAGCAATAACCGAGCTCTCAGCCATACTTCGGTCTCAATGCAGCTGCAAAATACCCTGCCGGGAACCCAAGCCCCAGACTGAAAACTCATTGCAGGCATCCAGCCCCGTCCTTACCGTGCCGAGGTGTGGGAGCAAGCGGGTGGCGCGGGGCGCGGAGCAGCTCTGCCCTCCTGGCATCTGCGCCGGCTGTTTTATTCCCGACCGAGGTGTCAGCAAAGCAGGATGAGCTGGACACCCCTGTGGATGTTTTGGCACGGCGTTGGGGTGCCTTCCTATATTAGGAAACCCCCACCTACACCTCGACAGGGTGGGGCCAGCGTAACCACCTCTGAACGTGAAGTGTAACGACGGCCAGGCGGGGAGGAAACCTGCCGCGTGCATCCTTAGGACACCTTGGAGGAGCCAGGAGGCGATGGGTGAGCCAGGAGTGGGACCAAAGGAGTGAGCATGAGGCAGGCCAGCAGATTTAGCCTCTGGCACAGGGCCATCAGGGACCTAAGGAGAGTGCTGGCATCACATGCTGTTCCCCAGCACAGCAGGCACCCGCATTGCACAGCAGCCACCTGCCCCACCGAAGACGTTCGACTGGGTCGAGTGGACCTCCTAGCCCACTTGGCCCTGGGCTTTGTACGTCGGCCCCTTTGGACATGTGCCATGTTTAGGTGCATGCCACAAGACTGACCCCAAGGCCACGGTGACTGCCAGCCACATGGACGGAGCCTGGACACAGCTGGCTGGGGCCGAGTGCTTTCTAATGCCCGCACCAAGGCACGTGATGCAAGCCAGGCAGCAAAAGCTAATGGCCTTAATGAAGGTGATTCAGCCCTTTATGAGTTTCTCAGTAGACGAGATAATTAGAAGGGAAATAAGGACAGAAGGAAATGGCACGTTGTTCCGGTCGAGCAGGCTGAGCCCTTGGTGGCCCGACAAGCCTCCACGCAACGAGACAG